TTCAATATTTAAAACATTTGTTTCCAAACTTATTTAGAAATAAAAATCCATCTTCAATTCAATGAGAATTTTGTGAATTAACTAAACATCATCGTACCACATTTCAATTTACAACCATACAAGGCTTCAAAACCTTTTTCATTAATACATAGTCATGTACGGGGGCCTTCGCGAATCACAACACCATCAGGAAAGAGATGGTTTGTCACTTTCATAGATGATCACACAAGGGTAAGTTAGGTTTACTTACTAAAAGAAAAATCAGATGTGGAGGTGTTCAAAAATTTTTACATAATGGTGATGACACAATTTCAAACACAAATTCAAGTTTTTCACAGTGATAATGGAAAAGAGTATTTTAACAAGATTTTGGGAAAATTCTTCCAAGAAAAAGGCATAGTTCACCAAAGCTCGTGTAATGACACCCCTCAACAAAATGGAATAGCTGAACGAAAGAATAAACACCTCCTAGAAGTAGCTAGAGCACTACATTTCACAAATAAGGTCCCGAAGTATCTTTGAGGGGAAGCTATTCTCCCAGCTACCTACCTTATCAATAGGATGCCAACTAGGGTGTTGAAACTCAAAACACCATTACAGGTATTTTTAAGTTGCTATCCAACATCTAGGTTATCACCTACACTTCCTATAAAAATATTTGGATGCACAACCTTTATACACATTCATGATCATAACCGGGGAAAACTTGACCCTAGAGCTAAAAAATGCGTCTTTGTAGGATATGCACCTACTCAAAAAGGTTATAAATGCTTTTATCCAATTTTTAAAAAAAAAAATGTTTGTTACCATGGATGTAACCTTTTTTGAATCTAAACTTTTTTTTGCTACTCATCTTCAGGGGGAGAGTACAAGTGAAGATGTAACCAAATTTGGAATTAATGATGTTTGTGATGTTTTTGAAATAGATTCAACACATTTAGACTGAAAATTCGGATTCACATGTTAAAAAACCGGAAAATATGGATTGAACAAATGATGTTTTACATATTGAAAATTCAAGCAGTCTACTGCCATGTCAAAATCAGAATCTCAGCAACTCAGAAAATGGGAACAAGACTGGTACTAAGAATACAGATCTCTTGGTCTACTCAAGGAGGAAACTGAATTCAAAAAAACAAGGTCCCGATCTTCAACAAGGCCATGAGTCCAAACTGAGGGACGAACCAAAACACTTCCCCAAGTGCCCAAGTAACAATCAATCCGATTCTTATTTAAATTCCAGTCCCGAGCCCCTTGATGATTCCATACAGTCTATCCCTAGTGCTAGTACTGAGTCATTTGATGATCTTAATATTCCTATTGCCACCTGCAAGGATGTCCGGTCATGCACTAAACACCCCATGTCTAATTATGTGTCCTATAAGAATCTCTCCTTCATTTTTTTCATTTACCTCACATCTCACTTCTATGGAAATTCCAAAGAGTGTACAAGAAGCTTTACAGGTTCCTGGGTGGGGGAAAGTTATTTCTGAAGAGATGAGAGTACTTGAGAAGAATCACATATGGGAAGAAACGGATTTGCCGAGAGGAAAGAAAACAGTTGGCTGTAAATGGGCGTTCACCATCAAGTATAATTCGGATGGATCTCTCGAGAGATATAAAGCACGATTGGTGGCTAAAGGGTTTACTCAAACCTATGGCGTTGATTATCTCGAGACCTTTGCTCTAATGGCAAAGCTGAATACTGTAAGAGTACTTCTTTCAATTGCAGCAACTCTTGACTGGCTGCTTCAACAGTTAGATGTGAAAAACGCATTTCTAAACGGAGAATTGGAAGTGGAAGTTTATATGGATCCACCGCCTAGATTTGATAAGCACTTTAGATCTAAGGTGTGTAAGCTAAGAAAATTACTTTATGGGCTCAAACAATCCCCAAGAGCCTGGTTTGAACGAGGGATATGTTGAGGCCCAAAGTGACCACACTATGTTCATCAAGCACTCCGATGATGGGAAAATTGCAATTTTGATAGTCTACGTAGATGATACCATCCTTACTGGAGATAATTCTGCTAAAATGAGTCGTTTGAAGAAAAGTCTGGCTTCAGAATTCGAGATTAAAGACTTGGGATCTTTAAAATATATTCTGGGAATGGAAGTTGCTCGTTCAAAAAAGGGTATTGTTGTCTCACAAAGGAAATACGACCTTGACCTCCTTAAAGAAACGAGAATGAGTGGGTGTAGGCCTGCTGATACCCCAATAGACCCTAACTAGAAGTTGGGAGATGCCAAAATGGAGATCCGGTAAATACAACACGATATCAGAAGTTGGTAGGAAAACTAATTTACCTATCTCATACCAGACCAGACATTGCATTCGCAGTTAGTATAGTAAGTCAATTCATGCACTCACCACGTGAAGAACACCTTGAGGCAATCGATCGAATCCTGAGGTATTTGAAAAGCACTCCAAGGAAAGGACTCCTCTTCAAGAAACACGAGCAAAAAACAATTAAAGCATACACAGATGCAGATTGGGCAAATTCCGTCACAGACAGAAGTCCTACATCTGGATATTGCACTTATGTTTGGGGAAACTTAGTCACTTGGAGGAGCAAGAAACAAAGTGTAGTAGCTCGAAGTAGTGCAGAAACTGAGTACCGGACAATGGATCATGGAGTATGTGAAATGTTGTGGTTAAAAAGGATCCTTGAGGAGTTGAAGAAACCAATAGAGATGCCTATGAAACTCTACTGTGACAACAAGGCTGCAATCAATATTGCTCACAACCCAGTGCAACATGACAGAACTAAACACGTTGAAATTGACAGACATTTCATAAAAGAGAAGCTAGAAAAAAGCACTATATGTATGCCGTTTGTTCTAACAACACAATAAATAGCTGATATTCTCACGAAGGGATTATTCAGACCAAGCTTTGAGTTTCTTATCAGCAAGTTGGGCATGACAGATAAGCTTGTGTTTCTTGGTTTTTGTTGTTAGCGCACAAGGAATACAGGTTGATGAAGAAAAGATCCGGACAATTCAAGAGTGGCCGAATCCCACAAGCATAGGTAACGTACGGAGTTTTCATGGACTCGCTAGTTTCTATCGGCGATTTGTGAAAGACTTTAGTACTTTGGCAGCACCACTCACTGAGGTAATAAAGAAAAACGTTAGCTTAAAGTGGGGTGAAGAGCAAGAGAAGGCGTTTCAGCTCATCAAGCAAAAATTGACAAACGCTCCCTTATTATCTTTACCTAACTTTAACAAAACGTTTGAGATTGAATGTGATGCTTTCGGAGTAGGCATTGCCGCTGTGCTTATGCAAGAAGGACGACCGATTGCGTATTTCAGTGAAAAGCTAAGTGGGGCAGCTTTAAACTGCCCGACTTATGATAAGGAATTGTACGCATTGGTCCGGGTAAGGGTGGCAATTCGTGTCACGTGTTGTGTTCATTTCGTATTTTGATCATTTCTTTCTGAATTTGCAGTCAACCCGAACACAACTCGTAACACGAAATTTTTTTAAAACCGCAACACGATCATTTTACGGGTTGACACGACACGACACGAAAATGACCCGTGACACGAAATTGACCCGTGAACCCGAAATTGACACGAAAATTACATATTTTTATTTAGTTTTTTACATCTTAGAAATAACTTAAAATTCATAACACACTAAAATACAATAACATCCATTGAAATTAAGCAAATAATAGTATAAGATTTGAGTATAACTATTATGATATCATAAGTTCATAATAAAATTAAAAATATGTAATGAAAAATATATATTTTTTAGTTTTTTACGAGTTCCGTGTCGTGTTCGGGTTAGGCAAGTCCAACCCGAAACTGACCCATGTTTTTCGTGTCAATTTTAGGTCGACCCAATTCTGACCCGAACCTCTTTTTTCTCAACCCTAACCCGCGAAATTTGTGTCGTTTTCGAGTCGTGTTGTCGTGTCGTGACCCATATTGCTGGCTCTAGGTCCGGGCTTTGAAAACATGGCAGCATTACCTATGGCCCAAGGAGTTCGTGATTCACACTGATCACGAATCGTTGAAACACTTGAAAGGACAAGACAAACTGAACAAGAGACATACTCGTTGGGTGGAGTTCATTGAGACGTTTCCATACGTCATCCGATATAAGCAAGGTAAGGAGAATGTGGTTGCAAATGCACTGTCTCGCAGGTACGTCCTAATTTCTACTCTTGATACTAAATTGCTTGGTTTTTAACATATTAAAGAGTTATATCCTCTAGACCATGACTTTAGTGAAGAGTATAGCGTTTGTGAGAAGACCGCCAATGGTAAGTATTTTAGGCACGAGGATTACTTGTTTCAGGAAAATAAGTTAGTGTATACCGAATTGCTCCGTGTGGGATTTATTAGTTAGGGAAACACATGGCGGGGGTTTGATGGGACATTTTGGGGTAGCTAAAACACTGGCCGTTTTGCAAGAACACTTCTATTGGCCACACATGAAAATGGATGTTGAGAGAATTTGTAGTAGATGTATCACATGTAGGCAAGCAAAATCTCGAATGCAACCCCATGGTTTATATACACCACTGCCCATTACTAGTGAGCCCTGGATTGATATTTCGACGGACTTTGTGTTAGGATTGCCTAGGACTAAACGTGGTAGAGATTCGATTTTTGTGGTTGTAGATAGATTTTCTAAGATGGCACACTTTATTCCATGTCACAAAATGGATAATGCTTCACATGTTGCTGATTTGTTCTTTAGGAGATTGTGAGATTACATGGTATGCCTAGAACAATTGTTTCGGATAGAGATGCTAAGTTCTTGAGTTACTTTTGGAAGATTCTGTGGTGTAAGTTAGGAACTGAGTTATTGTTTTCTACTACTTGTCACCCATAAACTGATGGTCAAACCATAGTAAATAGGACTTTGTCTACTTTGTAACGGGCTATTATTAAAAAGAACATTAAATAGATTTAATAGTATTTCAGGAAAAAAAACAAAAAACAAAAGAGTAACAAAAACTAGTGCACAGATGAAAAGATACCTGTTGACTGAGAGGTGCTATAAGAGTAACAACCTGCAAAAGGCAATTGAAAATTAAGAAAAGAGCCACTAGAAAAATGAGTAACTAATTATTAACAAAAAGCAAATACATATTACGAACAATAAGAAAGAAAGATCAGAGCAAAAATAATACTAATAATAATAATAATAATAATAATAATAATAATAAATAAATAAACCCACAAGAAAGCTAATTTGAAACTATCAACCATAAGCTTTGAAAATTCAAAAGGGAAAAAGAAAAAGAACGCAAAATACTATATGGCAAATAAATCACCAAGCAAAATATAAACAAAAGAGAACATAACAAAAAATATATTCAATTATATGCACAGAAAAAATTGGTTTACAGTGTCATACAACTTGAGATTGCTATTTAGAAAAAGAAAAGGCATCCTAAAATCTTAGACCAGAGATTTTAAACAGGACAGAAAAAAAAAATAATAATAATAATAATGAAGAAAGAGGGTCTTGATAGTCTAGGAAACCAAGCACGCATCTTTAAAACCCGGAGTAGACCATTGATCAATTTTATGTCACGTTCATTGTGGTCCCACAACAAAATCAACAAGCGCCAGAATTTCTTGCAAAGCTGTAGAATGCAACTTAAATTATAGTAGAGGTATTAATTTAAAGATATTTTACTTTCACCCAACCCCATAAGGCATATCTAATTCCCAACACTTCAAACGGCAGAAAATACGAATTAAATGTCAACTCTCAAAATATTTTCTTTGGTAGTCTCCCTTCCTCCATCTAGGCATGTGTAGTTAGGCCCTTTAGAGAGGCTAGAATTTTGCTATAGTCTCATATGTGAATTAAAGCTTCCTTCAGATGAAGTAACAGTCCTTGTAATACTAATAACCATCTCCAAATAGAAGCCCCATTTAAAGCTTTGTAGATCTTCATGTGCCAGCCGCTGGTGCACTATCTCAATTCTGAAGCAGCTGGACTTGCTAGGAAGGATTAGACAACAGATCAACTCTCTGACCCCTCTATCAGTAATAATCAACAATCATAACTTCAGCATGTATGTTGCATACGAAAACGAAAAAAAATGAAATCCCCGACTCTCTCATGAAATGAATTAGGTTCATTCGCATATCAAGCGGTGGCAGCGGCCAACTAATTTACTCCTCCACAAGAAATTTTATTGCCGGTGCTAAAACTAATAGTTCAGCCATGTCAACGAAATACATAAAAGCAATTAAATGAAGATCTAGCAACTTACTTGAGTTTTTCCCAAGCGAGATTCAAGGTCCACTTCATAATCTCTATGTTTCAATGGCTTTCTTTGCACGGGGGGCCTTTTGCTGCACAGAAGATATGTCAAAAACGCTTGAAACACATCTTTCTACAGTCCAAAGGGTTCATCAATCCATTGCAATTCATATTAAAAAAAAAAAAAAAAAAGCTCAATCATGAATCAAGTTACATTTGGATTTATTTTTCCCCTCCGCCTCCTAAATTAAAATTCAGTACAGCAAATTAGCAAAGAAATGTCACTAAGAGCCCCAAATCAATTGCAAAAACCCAAAAAGGAAAAAAAAAAAAAAAAAAAAAAAAGCAAAACACAAATAAATTGAGAAACTTTGAAGTGAATATAAAATTTTTAAAAAAAACCTGTCTTTCGCGCTCCGAGCTCGTTCCAAATATTCTTCTCCATCAAATTTCCTTCTAAAGGTGTTATCAACGCCAAGTGCCTAAACATAAACAATCAAAACCTTGAAATTCCGCAACGTAATTGTACACTAAATAATTTACAACAAAATAATAATAATAATCAATAAAAATAAGTCTATTTTTGGCTAGATTTTGGGAGAGTCAAGTCAAAAAACTCAACCAAAGTGCGATATGAACAGAGGGGAAAACAGAAATTAAGAATTTCATATTCACTAATAATCTTCTGATAAACCTAAGAAACTCGAAAGCCGGAGCTAGGGAAGTAAATAACCAAACGAAAAACTCGACTCACATTGTTGCTGGTTTGAGCCATGGCTGCGAAATTCCGCGACCTAAATTGACGTTCGGTGAAATGTAATTGGAAATTTCTGGCAAAAAAAAAAAAAAAAAAAAAAAAAAAAAAAAAAAAACCCCCGAAAAAAAAAAAAAAAAAAAAAAAAAAAAAAAAAAAAAAGCTCCGAGCAAGCAGATAAAGACAGAATAAGCCTCGTTTGTTTCGCTGATTCGTTTAGAATTCGAGTTTTACTAGTAAAAAGCTCTCACAAATAATTACATTTAATTTTTTTATTACAGTAAAAAATTTTTACATATAATTATATCTCAACTTAAATTCTAAACTCAAATCAACGAAATGAACGAGACTAAACTCTCAGAAAAAAATAAATAAATAAAATTTGAAGAATTTTAGCAATTGTCTCTGATTAGCGTCGGGACGCTGGAGACTATTGAATATTGAAGGAAGATAAATGGGTCTGGGGCCAAAAGAGAACATCCTCCGAAAGTTTGATGTTGTTACTAAAAACGACATTGCGTTTCCTGAGTTGAAACGAAGGATTATTTTCACAATTGCCTTCAAATTAAATATTCTAAAGAGACTCTTTAATGTTACTAATTAAATATTTTAAAAGAGACTCTTTAATGTTACTGTTTATTGTACAGTATTATAAATAGTAAATTTTTGTTTTTAACCTCTTAAAATCTGTATTTACAGATTTGTCGTTTGATGTTTGTTTACTGCACACGTTTTTAGTTGGTATTTTCATCTATTTCTTGTGGCCTTTTTTTTAAATATTTTTTACAGATAGAGAAATAGCTCAATGAAGAATAGGTTGTATCATGTTTCTTCTCTCATTTTTTTTCACCGTCTAAAGTTCTACCCTCTTTCCTCTGAAAGCTTCTGTTTTTTGTGTTTCTTCTCTCATTAGTTTCCTCTCATGCTCTATCTTCTTCGCATAAATATGGTTTTCTTTGTCTTCTTTTTTCATTACAAATTTTCTTTTTATTTTGTTTCCTCTGTAGTGAACTTATTTTGGGGGCCTATTTCTTTTTTTATCGCCTTTTCTCTCTGATTTGGTTTCTTTTTTTTTTTAGGTTTTCTGGTGCTGCTGGTTTTTTCTCAGCTTCTAGGCTTCTTTCCTTTCAGTGTGTTTGGCTGCTGGATGTTTTTGGTGGAAATGATGCTTTTAGGCTTTTTTTTTTCCTTGTTCTCTCGGTGGAAATGAAAAAATCTTTTGGTTTCCATTTCTTCTCTCTGTCTGGATTTTTTCTGGTCTTTTGAGTTCTCCTGTTAGCTTATGGTCTCCTTACAATGAAGTTTTTAGGTTTTCTTTTATCTCTTCTATTTGTGTTGGACTTTGGTGGAAATGAAGCTTTTGGGATTTTTTTATTCTAAAGGAGACTCTTTAATGTTACTGTTTATTGTACAGTATTATGAACAGTAAATTTCTGTTTTTAACCTCTTAAATGTGTATTTACGGATTTGTCGTTTGATGTTTGTTTACTGCACATGTTTTTAGTTGGTATTTTCGTCTATTTCTTGTGGCCTTTTTTTTAAATATTTTTTACAGATAGAGAAACAGCTCGATGAAGAATAGGTTGTATCATGTTTCTTCTCTCATTTTTTTTCACCGTCTAAAGTTCTATCCTCTTTCCTCTGAAAGCTTCTATTTTCTGTGTTTCTTATCTCATTAGTTTCCTCTCCTGCTCTATCTTCTTCGCATAAATATGGTTTTCTTTGTCTTCTTTTTTCATTACAAATTTTCTTTTTCTTTTGTTTCCTCTGTAGTGAACTTATTTTGGGGGCCTATTTCTTTTTTTATCGCTTTTTCTCTCTTATTTGGTTTCTTTTTTTTTTAGGTTTTCCGGTGCTGCTGGTTTTTTCTCAGCTTCTAGGCTTCTTTCCTTTCAGTGTGTTTGGCTGCTTTGATGTTTTTGGTGGAAATGATGCTTTTAGGCTTTTTTTTCCTTTGTTCTCTCACTGGAAATGAAAAAATCTTTTGGTTTCCATTTCTTCTCTCTGTCTGGATTTTTTCTAGTCTTTTGAGTTCTCCTGTTATCTTCTGGTCTCCTTACAATGAAGTTTTTAGGTTTTCTTTTATCTCTTCTATTTGTGTTGGACATTGGTGGAAATGAAGCTTCTGGGATTTTTTTATTCTAAAGGAGACTCTTCAATGTTACTGTTCATTGTACAGTGTTATGAACAGTAAACTTCCGTTTTTAACCTCTTAAATGTGTATTTACATATTTGTCCTTTGATGTTTGCTTACCACACATGTTTTTAGTTGGTATTTTCGTCTATTTCTTGCGGTCTTTTTTAAAAATATTTTTTACATATAGGGAAACATCTCGATTAGGAATAGGTTGTATCATGTTTCTTCTCTCATTCTTGTCCACCGTCTAAAGTTCTATCCTCTTTCCTCTGAAAGTTTCTGCTTTCTGCATTTCTTCTCTCATTAGTTTCCTCTCCTGCTCTATCTTCTTCACACAAATATGGTTTTCTTTGTCTTCTTTTTTCATTACAAATTTTCTTCTTCTTTCGTTTCCTCTGTAGTGAACTTATTTTGGGGGCCTATTTCTTTTTTCATCGCCTTTTCTCTCTAATTTGGTTTTTTTTGTGGGGGGGGGGGGGTCCGGTGCTGCTGGTTTTTTCTCAGCTTCTAGGCTTCTTTCCTTTCGGTGTGTTTAGCTGCTTTGATGTTTTTGGTGGAAATGATGCTTTTAGGCTTTTTCTTTTTCCTTTGTTCTCTCGGTGGAAATGAAAAAATCTTTTGGTTTCCATTTATTCTCTCCGTCTGAATTTTTTCTGGTCTTTTGAGTTCTCATGTTTTCTTCCAGTCTCCTTACAATGAAGTTTCTAGGTTTTCTTTTATCTCTTCTATTTGTGTTGGACTTCGGTGGAAATGAAGCTTTTGGGGTTTTTTTTTTCCTCTGTCGTTCTCTCGGTGGAAATGAAAAATATTTGGGTTTGGTTGTTTTGGTGCTTTTGGTGGACATTATGCTTCTAGGCTTTTTTTTTTTTCCTTTGTTCTCTCAATGGAAATGAAATTTTTTTTTACTTTCTTGATTTTTTCCTTTTCCTTGCAGTTGTTGTTTTGGGTTTCGTATTGTGATTAATCTTTTTTTTTTTAAAGGGGGTTTTACAATTTCATTTAGTCTTCATTCTGATAGTACGTTGGTTGTTCAGAAATTTATATTTTTGAGGTTTTTATGATACTAACGTTAGAAGAACTCAAATGTCTGGATTTTTTTTTATTGCCTAAATTTTTTTGATTTTATTTGTAGGGATAAAGATCAATCTGTTTCCTTTTTTCCCTATCCTGATCTTCTTTTGTAATCTTATTAACCAATAATCGCTTTGTTTCTGATGTGGTTTTTACTGTGGCATCATGTTTATATTTTCTTTTGCCACGTGTTTACATATCTAATTTTTTACTGTCCGTTGGTTATTGGCTTGGTTTTCATTTGGTTTCTATGCTACGTGACACCTGTTCTTAGCCAATGATTATATCAATTCAAGTTTTTTTTTAACCGTTGTTATCTAATGATGAGCAGAAATTTATTTTCTTTGTGTATAAATAAAGTCTTCTACTGTATTATTATATTTGTGATTCCATTTCTCTTTTCATTCTCCGAGTATAATAATCTACTATATTGTTATATTTGTGATTCCATTTCTCTTTTCATGTTTTATAATTAAATCTTATGAAAGTTACTATTCAATATGTTGTTCTGTCATCTTGAATGTTATTTTTTATATATATTTCTTGCTTTATGAATAATATTTCTTTTTTTTCGTTTTATTTATTTCAATGTAGTCTTTTGTTCTATATACTTGCAATTTAGTAAAAAATATATATAAACATACTATGAATAGTAACTTTCATAAGATTTAATTACAAAAAATGCATATGCTTTATATTTGTACTCATAATTTCTTCATAAGACTTACTATCATAATCTAACATAAAATAATAAAATATAATATCAAATATTACTCATAATTTCTTCATAATATTTATTCTCATAATCTAACATGAAATGATAAAACATAATACTAATGATTAGCTTATATTATAGTACTAAAAAAAGATCACTGTATCTTTAATAATAATATTGCTTGATAATAAGATATTAAATAAAAAATATCTTCTTAGAGTATTAATTTTTTTTAGCATTTGTTCTTTCGGCGATTTTTATAGTGTTATTATTTCTATTAGTTATTTTGTTTTTATCATGTAGCTTCGTTTTTTAATATTTAAACAAACATTTGATAATTATATTTTGGGAACGTATTAAATTATTTGTGTCAACGTTATACTAAAATATAAATTAATATAAAATTTTGAAAAAAAATATATTTTTCATAAAAATTACAATGCCACTTACTTAATAATTATATTTATTGTAAATTTTTTTTTTAAATTTATAATTAAACAAATTTAAATTTGTATAAACAAATACAAAATCAATGTATGCATAGAATATACACACAAAAAGGACAAACGCAGTTATGTTCGGTAAAATTGTTCATTTACTCATAAATAAAGCTTGCTCTACACTTACTTATAAAGAAAGATACACTGACCGTTATACGATATCTCCCATTTTATTACAAATTAGAGGAATGTTAAAGATATTCATTATACAGTTTTATAATTGAGGTGCTTTCGTCGATAAAGTCATTTTAAAAACTATCAACGATGATGAACCTCTATTGTGCTTGCCTCTAACAACATCAACATCTTCAAGAGCAACCCCATCAATTTCGGAACCACCAGAGTAAGCTATTATTCACATCTTGTCTTTTTCTTTAATGTTAATAAAGCATTGTTTATAATATATTAATATTTATTACTATTACAGTTTTTACCATCCACCTCTTTCAACACAATCTAAGGTCCCGTTTACTTCGCTGATTCGAATTTAGAATTCAAGTTTTTATACAGTAAAAAGTTCTCACAAATAATCACATCTAACTTTTTTATTACAATAAAAAGCTCTCACATAAAATCACATCTCAACTCGAATTCTAAACTCGAATTAGCGAAGTGAACGGGACCTAAATCTGCTTCTTCAATCAATTCCTATTCCTAAAAAAACGAACGTTACATATTAAAATAATTATTTCCTTAAATGTAAACAAATTTATTATTATTCATTTATCATTTATTAATAACTAATCTTTATTTTTTCTGTATATTTTTATTGTGGCTCCGACGAAACAAAGAAAAAAACTAAAGAAGAATAAATATGTGTATATATAGACACACAAATATGTATATAAATGTATATAACTTACAAACTGAACTGTCATTATATACCCAATTTTGTATCAACTTTTGAGTATCATAGACAAATATACATCCGTGCAATGCACGGGTAACCCACTAGTTGTACTCTGTTTTAAACAGTTTAAAACACCTTCATGATTTATATAAAACGTTCAAAATATCTCTTCCGTCCAAGTTTGTTGTGGCATATCATTACAGGTTAACAAAATGTATTAAATTTAAATTAATTTTTTAAAACTAATTAATATTACAAACAATAAAAAAGAAATTAAAAAACCATGAAAAAACTATTAAAAATGACTTAAAAAAAAAAAAGAAAACAAGTCGTCTTCTACCTCATGGCTGCTGCTTGCTAGGGTTGTTCATAAACCTGAACAACCCGCAAACCTAACCCATCCCGCTCCAAACCAAGCTGAAAAAAATAACCCACAGCATTATTTTTAAATTTTTGGCTCATTATATCTATAGCCCGAAGTGTTTGGGGCGGATTGCGGGTTGGGTCCATAACAACCCGTAATCCCCAACCCAACCCGCACAACATACCCCTAAGCTTTCGGCCCAAGCCGAACTGCCCAAGTTCTACCTTAGGCTCGCTAACATTAGGGTTCATAATCTCATTCTCAGTCTCCCCTCCCGTGAACCCCCTCTTATTGCCTCTTCATTTTCAGTTTTACCTCTTCTTCCTCTCCCGTGAACCCCTTCATAACTCTCTCCTCATTGCTCAATCCTCTCAGCCGCCGTCTTACCCACTTTCTCCGGTGCTCTCTCGCCGGACTGATAAGGATGGTTGCTATTTCTATTTAATGATGAAGTTTGAATATTATATTGAACTTTAAGTCTTTAATTTTTTAAATGTTGAAACCGACCACCCAATCCACTTCGTACCGCCCCAACTCAACCCGAATATCGTTGGGTTGTGAAATTTTTCTAATATCGTTAAGATTAAATATGTGCAACCCGCACCTTTTGAGACGAAAAAAAAAAAGTCATATCCCGCATCAACCTAAGATATGAACAGCCCTACTGCTTGCTTGCAAACCCAGAAACAAACCCATACCCTAATACCTGAACCCACCGCCCATCCCCACTGATGACCCCGCCGCCCACCCACGCCCGCAACTCTATTTCACCGGCCGTGACCCCGCTGCACCGCAAAGCCAAGCTCAGATCCACCACCCACGTCCCCTCTCGCCAGCCCATTTCATGATCTCGCCCCTCTTCCTCCGACGAACCCCACCGAGCCGCCTTCTAATCCTAGGCTGCTGCCTTAAACCCAGGCCTCCGCTTCTCTTCGCACTGACTTTTCTTCACCTCCTCGCCAATACTATCCAGATTCGCGAGGTCCACAACCAGATCGACCGCTCCGATTTCAAGTATTCTTTTTTCCTTTCTAAATCTATTGTTGGTGATTTTCGTGAATTTTAGAGGATTTTGCTGTCTGTTTCTTAGTGAATGATTAGTCTATTGATTTCACAGAGAACGGAGTGATCGAAAGTGAGTGGAGAGAAAGAAAACAATCTGTAATTTTCCAATGTGTATGTTTGGGAGGAGAAATAATGGAAACTAATTTTCCAATGTGTGTGTTTGGGAGGAGAAAATAATGGAAATTTAAGGATTCTTGGTTTAGGGTTTTGGAGGGCTAAGACTTCGGAATGTGGATGAGATTGGGATTCATCTTTGTGCTGAAGAATGTAACCCAGAGGGCAAAGTTTTGTTAAGAGATTCAAAAGATGGTGGAGAAGAAGACCATCGAGCCACTGTGATTGCTTGTTAGGTTTCCTTTGAATCTGTTAGGAGCATGCACGCCTCAAACGATAAATTATCACATGCATATGCTATGTCATTTTACTAGTAGTTTTTTTAGTTTTTTTTTAATCTCTCCTCTTTCTTTTCTTTTTTCTAAGAAGTGCTTTCTTTTAGACAGCCGAGAATAACTCTTTTGAAAAATTTTATTAGTAAAATAACTTTTTAAAAATTTTTATTTGTAAAATGACATCTTTTTATAAAGAATGAGTAAATATATTTCTTCATAAAAAATAGAAGAATGTCATTTTATTAATTTCACTTTATTAGATAGTCATTCTAGCGTATTGTCCCAGCGCCCCAGCCTCATTAGTAATTAACATCATTCTATAATAATTATGTAAATTTTCTATAGTGAGCACTAGGACCGTCTAAGACAAACAAAAAGGGGAGGCTTTGACCTAAAACGTGAGTTCTTTGTTGGTAATGGTTTGAATCTCTCTCCGATTTCAACAACAACAACTCTAGCAAGTTATCTTCTCTTCTCTAATCGATATATGTGAAATTTGAAAATTTTATTTGTGTAATAATTTGTGTTGTATCTGTATTTTTCTTCTATTGAAATTTGATGATTAAATGCTAGTGTATGTATACGAATTTATATTCTTGAGTGGAAAAGTAATCTTTTTTTTAATGTGAAATTTGATGTTGAACATTGTAATTTTCAAGAATTTGCTTTTTTTTTTTTCTTTTTATTTCCCCTATCAAATTAGTCCAACATGCTAAAATTACTATCATCTTCGTCTCCATTTTGTCAAAAATATTTTTGTTATGATCTTATTTCTTGTCTCCTAGTTAATTTGCGTTTCCATTTTTATTTTCATTGAATACGCGAACTTTATTGTTTTTCCACTGATCTGGTCCTTTAATCTTCTCGGTTGCATATAAATAATTATTAGTCGTAATTGGATAAAAGCTTAGATGATCATATTATTTTAGGAAAGGATGATATGCATCTAAATTATATAATTTATATTTATAGATAATTTACGCATACAAAATTCGAAAGTATGGTTAATTTCTATGTAAAATGAGTATGCTTTTAAGCTATCTTTTGGCAGTGGGGTTGGTTGCCCAAGATTATTCATCTTGTTTGTGGGTGTAGATATACATATATATATATAACGTTACGTGCATGGATTCATTAACAAGTGAATGTGGGATTGAATGGCAGATAACAATGGACGCCAAGAGTGTTGCTTCTCAGCTAAAAAGTTCTGGTCTATTACGTACCCAGGGCCTTATTGGTCGGAAATGGACAGCCGCATGTGACGGGAAAACTATAGAGGTCAGGCTTAACTAGAGGTTATGTAATAACCAAGTAAAAAAGATGGAGAAACCGAGAGTGCATTTAGAATTTATTTTTAATTATTTTTTAAAACGTTTTTTTACGTCTTTTAAGACATAAAAATAAAAATAATATGTCAATTGTGTTTGTTTAATAAATGTTTTAAAAATAAAAATAAAAATAAAAAACAGTGAGAGTGATTTTTGTAAAAAAATTAGAAAACAGTTAAAAATTATTTTTCCTTTTCTGTTTTCCTTTTCTAGTTCTTATCAATAATATTATAATATATTAATTAATAATTATAACCGATACTTAAAATAATATTTTAAAAAATTAACTAAACGTAATTTTAAAATCAGTTTCAGAATGATTTTTAAAATAATCTCATTTTTACTTTCGTACTGAAAATAAAATTATTTTAAAATGTTACCAAACCGGCCCAATGAGTTATCTTTGAAGAAAGATAATTTTATGAAGTGGAGAACTACAGCAGAGAAAACTGCGCGGCTTTGATGTTATCTTTTGATAGAATGCGTTGTGACTAGTGTTGGTGGTTTCTAGATGTTATACCATCGTGTCAACTATCAAAGAGACAATAAAGAAGGCACATAGTTCGACAGTGGTTGAACTGAATCAGCACAAACTCCTGAAAACCATCTCTTTGTTGAGTAAACTTAGAGCTGCTTCAAGTTAAAGGGCTTGATAAGCTGATTCGACCAATGAGGTTTTGCTGAAGTTTCGACATCCAGTTAGCGCATCCGCTTTGAAGGATAGACTGATTGCAACACAGGGCACTGACAATTGGTGGGAACTCAATAATTCTAACCTTATCGTACCATGTAACATAGAAGAATGGCAAGAAAGAAGGTAATTTTGATTCTTGAAGGAGGAACTTGGTCTTACTGTGGGGTTTTCATGCTCCTTAACCGCACTTAAGAGTGAACTTCCCCTGAAAAACTAACATTTATTGTCTTAAGAACGTCGACCATCAGCCTATTCATGCATAAAAGCCGAATATAGAAGAACCGACAAACTTTCGTTTAAATCGCATGTTTTCCCACGCGTTGCTTGTGATTTTGTGAATTATAAGCAGTTCAAGTTTAGCTCATTTTGGATTTTAGTTTCTGCTAGTTGCATCCTAACAAGTGCAGTATAGACACCATTCTTGGAGCGGAGCTCTTCATGAGGCCTATTCAACCATTTGTCCATTTAAAACAACTGCCAGTGTCTGCATTTAACAGTTGAATCCCTGTGAACTATAGGATGTTTCTCCATTATAGAGTCCAAGACGTCCCTATGTTTGAGTGCGTTTGGAATTCGTTTCAAAACGATTTTGTTTTCTATATGAAAATAAAAATGAAAATGTTTTTATTTCTATTTTAGAATTATTTCTAAAAATGCATTTAGTAGTTTAATTTTTAAAAATATGTAATAGTATTTTAAATAATAATATATTTGTTTCCAAACATTGCCAAACTTCTATAGCAATGTTGAAACAAGACAGTGTCATTGATTACTCTCATAAGAACAGCAAATTGCCAAAAAGATTTATCTCACGAAAAGCATATGAACTAAGCTTGGTCAATTTATATGACATTTCAGAAACCTAAATTGAACCCCACAATTGAAATCAATCCCACATGAATCCAGGGAACAAAAAAGGGGAAAAAAGAACCGATAAGACTTGCCAATTATATGAATCAATAATCATAACATAGGACACAAAAATCCCCAACTGGAAAGTGGGTGAATCTACAAGAAATGTCAGACATTTGGGTTCAAATCACCATTACCAAAATGCCAATTCACAAGTAGAATCTCCAGCTTCCAATTACAAAATTCCCAGATTCCCCCACCTCAAAAATTCTTCAGCTTCCCAATTGTGTAACCCCGGTCGAAATCCTTGGCGTACCCGAAATTGGTGTGGTTGCTGCAGGGGATAATCCCGCTCTTCTGCCTCCTCGCGTGGTTGTTGTTCTTCTCCTTATGCTGAGGATTATTATTCTTCTGGTTCTGGTGGGTCCCATTGCCGCCACGCCCGTTCTTCAGCCTTTGCTGTTGATTGTTGTTGTTGTTCAGAGGAGAGAGATCGTGTGAGAGAAGTGATGGGCAGAAACAAATTTCAAAGGAGAGAGATCGTGCGAGAGAAGTGAAGGGCAGAAGAGAAAATGGAAATAGAAAAATTGAAAATGAGTTTATTTCGTTTTCAGAATCCTGGTGGCTTTTGAGAAAAATACAAAAACGATTTTGTTTTCATTTCTGGTCCATTGTTGAACCAAACACTATTTTTATGTCATTTTCACTTTTCTCTGAAAACGTGAAAAACGTTTTCAAAAAGGGAAAAGGCCCGTTGTTTTTTGTTTTTTTTACTTGCTGAAAAGTGTATCCGATAGTTCTGGTGAGATCCCGTGATGTAGCGACCCAATCTGGTCACCATTCAAGTACGCAACAGTTCGTCCGAGTCTTGATCCTTGATGCGACCATCAGATCAACTGTGCCATGATTTCTGGTAAAGCTGCTCGACCACCACTGACGACTGTTGCAGTTCAGAAATGTCTAATGAATTTCTAGACTTTCTTGTTGTTTGTTTAGATGACGATAAGCATGATCTTTGTACTGTCCAAAAATTTAATCAAAAAAGTTAATTTTCAAAAAAAATTAAAGCCCCGTTCACTTTGCTGTTTCGAGTTTAGAATTTGAGTTGAGATGTGACTTTATGTGAGAGCTTTTTACTGTAGTAAAAAAGTTAAATGTGATTGTTTGTGAGAACTTTTTACCTTAGAAAAACTCAAATTTTAAACTCGAATCAGCGAAGTGAACGGAACCTAAGAGTTATAATAGATATTAGAATGAGGATACTATTTGGCACGACTGTGATTTTCTTGTGATCCATGTGTAAAAGCATTGATGTATACGCAGTAACTAATGGTTTTGTCGAAATGGTAGCTCGGATCATTCGGACTTTAATTTGTGAGATTCACACATATGAGGTCCAGGGGTGCTCAAAATGTCAGTATAAATAAACAAGTTAAAGCTTAAATAGAGCTTAAATAATAACCATATCCAATGATGGAAAAACCGAGTGTTTTAACTTGTTTACACACTTCACCCACTTTATTTAAAGCGAATCGTGCCTAATTAGTGAGATTCTCACATACGAATGCCGGGGTGCGAAATATATTTGGGTATAAATAAGTAAGGCTAAGCTTATCTGAAGCATAATTAAAAACCATAGCCAAAGAAGGTTTCGGAGAAACCAAGTGTTTAACTTGTTTTCTCTCGCTTAACCTGTGTTATTTAAAACGAATCGTGCCTAATTGTGAGATTCTCAAATATGAAGGCCGGGGGCCCGTAAAATATTGGAGTACAAATAAACAAGTCTATGCTTAAATAGAGCTTGAATAATAACCATACCAAGGAGGGAGAAACCGTATATCTCCGAAAGTTCCGGAACCAAGTGGCACACGCCAATGCTTTCTAAATGTGAAGTACCCATATGAAAGGGCACAGAAAATCCACGAGCTCTCTCTTTTAACTCTTGATCTCTGCGAACCACTGATATTTAAAATTCCATTAGATCAGCGTTTCCATGAACAATTTCATGTTCTTCACATCATCTTTGGTTTGTGGAAAGCTTTGTGGTTTCAAATGCTTCCACAACCCAACCGGATGCCTGGTTTTCACTTTGCCATTTCCCGAATATCTCCCAAACATCTTCTCACACTCTGGATACTGCTTGACATAAAGGTTATAGAACGTAAGTCTGCTAGGCTTGATCAGAGCCCTTAATCCCACTTCAGAACCAAGCCTATCTTTCGATCTCAAGTACTCTATCACATTGAACCGAGGAAAAATCTGCTTATCAAAATTCACCCCTATATACTCCGGAGCGTCAAGCAAGCAACGGATATTGAATCTCATATTGTTCACCAAAAAATCAATCTTTCTCCCAATATCCTCCATCTTGTACACAATCGATCTCGGCTCTTTCCATAACACCTCTAGCGCCTCTCTTCGAATAAGCCCTTGTCTGCACAAGTAGTCCACTCTCAACTTCACTTCAAATCCAGCTCTTAACTCTCCCTCACTAAATATCTCCTCCTTGATCGCTTCCCTACATTTCAAACTCCTCAGCAATTCCAAACACCGCGAAAGCTCTCCGATCTCCATTCCGAGAATTCTCGGCTCTCTAACAATCTCTCTCCTGATCAAATCCTCACTAAAGCCCAGACCTTTGAACTCAGACAGCAATGGCTTCAACCTCTCCTCAACCTCAAATCTCAAAACCTCTGGAAAAGAACGAATTACCCACTCAATTCCATCTCCGGGAATCGGAATTCCCATCAAGAATTCGATTCTCCTCTGAATTTCCCTTGCGCTCATCATTGTCACTCCAGGAAAGCCCTCTAAAACCCTAATCAAAGTGCTGTCGCTAAACCCTAAACCCCTCAAAACCTCCACGCTTCTAGAAAACCCACCCGCGTCTAGCTGGAACCTTCTCGAGTGTTCCAGAACGCTCCTGATCAACAAAGGGGAAACTCTCGAAAGCCCCAATTTCGAGAACCCCAATTCCCAATTCCTCAGAAATTCGCAATCCAAAACCCTAGGACAGTCGCAGACCAACGCGACAAGATCTTTCTGGGTGATTTTGAATGCGAGAAGGAGAACACTGAGAGAATTTTCCATGTCTTTCAAATCGGATTGGAGTAAAAAGCGATTCTTGGAGAGGAAATTGTGGAGAACAGAAGACGGAAAACCGTACCTTTGGAGGAGATTGGCTATGGAGATTTGTTTCCTGTATTGGGATTTTTGGGAAAACAACCTGGTTTGGATTGGGATTGAAATCTTCGAGAGAAATTGGGGATTTAGGTTTGGGAAAATCGGGGAAAGTTTTGTGAGATGGTTGAGAGAGATTCTGGGTTTTGATGTTATGGCCATTTGAGATTGTGATGATTTGCAGAGAGAAGGCAATCGACTGGGTCGTTTCCATAAATGATTTTCAAGAAACGGCAATATAGCGTTGCAAAAGAAATTAGACAATATAGTTGAAACGACAAAAAAAGAAAAAAAGAAACCATTATCTCTAAGGAAAATAAAATAAATCACTGTTTTTTTTTTCTTTAATGCTACGCTTGTTAAGAGGGATCGAAAATAGAAAGAAAGGATAAATAAAATCATGTTGTTTAGTAGAAAAGAAAAAAATGTTAAATTTAGCTTTTTACAATAAAATTTTTATCTAATTTAAAGACACATAAAGAGTTAATGAGGGTATTCTTTCTTTAATTATGTGTCAACCTCTCATTTTTTTTCTTTCTTGTTTTGTTTTTTACTTTTTCTAATTCTTTTTACGTTTGGTTTCTTGCCTCTTCTTTTTTTCTTAAAACTCCAATACAATTTATTTTTAACTTTCCTCTTTTTCTATTTTAAATTTTTTTAAAAAAATCTTCTTTTCTTTTACTTATTTTTTTTCATAATATTCTTTGACAATTCATTTTTCTACAATATATTTTTTTAGAATACTTTATTTTTCAAACTTTCATTTAATAAAAATAGTTCTTTTCAAATGTCTTCCTATTTAAGTCTTTTTTTTTTCAAAAGTTCCCTATAACTTTAATTCTTTGTCAATGTAATTAAATATTTTTTCCCGCTTGCTTCAATTGATGGACTTAGTTTCTAAAGACATCACGTGTTTTAACGCGAGATTAAACTTAATTATAAAATTATTCTCTACATGCGTAACACATGACTCAACTAATGTTAATAAAAATATGGTGAATGATTTAAAATTAAAAGAGCTATTTTACATCTTACTTACTTGTTAAACTTTTTTCCTCCTCTTTTCTTTCTAAAATTAGAAGGATTGAAAAATAATGAGCCCATAAATTTATGACTTTCTTCCTTCCCCATTTTCTTTTGCCAAACAACTCGAAATTCTCTTTTTCTCTCCAAAATCTTCCTCTAATGTCTTTCCTCTCCTTTTTTTCACCCTACGAAACAAAAGTTGAGGCAATTCAGTGTAAATTGTGTACACACGTTCCCTCCTTTTCCTTTTAGGTTTGAAACTCGGGTATTTGTCACTGCCATACAAAGAATATATTTTGCTACTAGTTGGAAAGCACGTGCGAAGTATGTTTGTTAAAATCTAACCATAATGTATTTAAGTAGACTATATTTAAAGAAAAAATTAGTAAGATAAAATTAGGCTATAAAATATCTAAAAATACACTTGAGAAAATAATATTTAGGATTAATTTCAAAAATTTCCCCTGAACTATGATCTTTTTAACACTTTGCCCCCCAAATTTTAGAAAGTAACATATGTTGCCCCGAATTTTGTTTCGTTAATAAGTTTTCTCCTTCTATTACAATGAGTGACATAATTCATCACGTGTCATGCACATGACTCATATGAGGAGGGTATTATCGTAAATTAACCTGCAACAACCCTTCCAAGCATTAAAAAAAGAAAACTCAGATCTTGAACAACATAAAGATCAGGAAAAAAAAGGAAGAACAATGAATCCAAGACAGAATCATCGGAGTTGAAAGGCTCCAAACAGATACTGCAATAGTCTTCTTTGAAGTTGTCGTTGGAATGAGGCAGCGATTGCGATTGCGATGAAGACGAAGCTATGATCGCCATTGAACTCTCTGCATAACCAAAAGAAGACGAAGACAAAGAAAAAGTGAAAGCCGCTATTGAAGAGTGAAAGGGAATGAGTGATATGCAATGTTGAAGAGAGAGAGAGAGTTTATGGAAGAGAGAAGAAGTAGAAGGGAGGTGAAGAAGAAAGGAACCCTAGAAAAAGTGGTTGAGAGGGAAAGATAAAGTGAAAATGACGGTAAAAGAAAATATGATTATTTTTTTAATAAAAATGGGAAATTATCTGATTAGGAGGGTATAAGCATAATTACGCTTTCAATTCTTACTAAATAAGTGACACGTGATAATTCCGTCACTTATTATAATAGAAGGAGAAAACTTGTTAACGGAATAAAGTTCTGAGGGAACATATGTTACTTTTTAAAATTCAATGGGCAAAGTATTAAAAGGGTCATAGTTTAGGGGGAATTTTTAAAATTAATCCTAATATTTAATGTGGCAAGAGAAAAGAGATCTATAAAAAGGGACATATTTGAGAAAAATTAACTAACAAGGATGCATGAGAAAGATGCTGGATTAGGAACATATTTAAGAGAAAATATTTTGTGGAGAAATTGTTTAAAAAAAATATATTTACAAGGTTACTTTTGATGTAGTAATATTTTAGAGGAGTATAGGAAAAAAAATACATTTAGGGTTTTTTTTTTTGCATTTTTGCCCCCTAAACTTATCGTGGCTTAGTAAATTATCCCCCAAACTTTTAATTTTAGCAAGTTGTCCCCTCAACTTGTAAATTTGTTGCAATATGCCTTATTTTGACGACGATTGTGTAAAATTAGGGGACGTTTGGTTGGAGGATTCAAACTATAATTTAAATCATGGTTCATGGTTCGCTACAGTGTTTTCTCTCACAAAAAATACACGTAAATTGAAAATGATTCTAATCCATGAACCAAACGTCTCCTTTGTTTAAAAAGTGCACGTTAGCCAAAAATTTCATCATTCCAATTCAAATGTAACACAAATCTTTCAATATCTCAATTTTTAATCCCTTAAATCTAATATATTTTGAACAAATTTAGTTAAATGAGGCACATTGCAACAACTTTACAAGTTCAGGGGGCAACTTGCCAAAATTAAAAGTTTAGGGGGCACTTTCTTAAACCATGATAAGTTCGAGGGGAAATTGTGCCAAAAACCGAAATATTTAAGTAGGGACAATATTGATACACAATGAGATAGATTTAAAAGAATAGTTTAATGAAGCCTATTTAAAACTATATAAGGCGTAAGGGGGAAACAATAAAAAAAATAAAAGAAAATAAGCTCAAAGCAAAAAACAAAAAAAAAGGAAAAAAAAGGAGGGACTAAAAATAAATAAAAGATAAAAGAGAGATTAAAAAAGAAAAAAGAAAACCACTTTTGACTAAAATGAATAGTTGTGATTGAAAGCATTGTAAAAGTATTAGGGCTTGTTTAGTTGTATTTTTTAGTTATAGTGACTTGAGTGTAAATCTTGAGTTAAATTTGAGTTATAACTTGAGTTTGTATTTGATTGTGTATATTTGAGTTATGGTTTGAGATGAGAATCTTTTTGAGATTGTGTTTGAGTGGGTCAAAACTTGAGTCTGTATTTAGATAGTATTTTAATAAAAACTCAATGATGATGAAAAACTTTAATATGGTATATGAGTGTAGTTTTATTTGTCTCTTCGTTGTAAACACATAAAAAAAGAATCATCTCAATCGGAATTAAAACGAAAAAGTTATAGCGTTTTTAAGAATAGAAAAAATATTGTTCATTAACTTAAGTTTGAGTTTAGGAACTTGAGTTGAAGGGGAAACTCGAACTCAGATTTTAGCCCCAAACTCAAGTTCAAGTTCAAGTTAAAACTCAAGTTAAAACTCAAATTTTACAAAAGAATATGATCTTGAATAAAGTTGTAATTTGAGTTCAAACTTTTTTTGAGTTTGGGTGCAAACGAACAAGCTCTTAGTGTTCTGCATTTCTATTTGTTAGGGGAAAAAACTGTTTAAGTGGGAATATGTTTGAAAAATTTTACTTTACGAGCAACAAAAAATATGTTTTGAGAATTCATTTTGATATAGTAATATTTTAAAGGACTTAAAAAAAATTAAGTAGGGATTCATTAGAGAAAAATAATGCAAGATGAGCAAATTAGAAAAATGATATTTATGAAAGAATAGTGATCTAGAAGGCCGTGGAAAACAAAAAAAAAATTAAGTAGGATGATATTTTAGAGCACTATCGAAAAGAAATATCTAAGTAAAATTACATTTAAAAAAAATATTTTAATCGGGGTAATGAAAGAGAAAAAAATAAAAAGAATGGTAAGAACACAAAATATAAAAGGTTTGAGGAAAAAAATAGAAAGAAAAATAGAGGATGGAAGGAAAAAACATGAACCAAAACGAGCGACATTATCAAACTAAATAAAATTATGACACGTTATTTAAAAATTTTAAAATGATATATAACTCACTTTTTTTTTATGTTTTAATATTAGATTTATTAAATGGCATGGTAAAATTTAATTGGTTAAACGAAATATAAAAAATTGGACAAATGATTCATCTTAAGAGATTATGAACAAAAGCTGACAAGCTTCTTGAGATTATGAACAAAAGCAAGTAGTTTTAGCACCAAAAGATTACGGGCTTGTTCTTTTGAGTGAAAAACTCAAAAAAATGTAACTTGAGTTATAACTTTATTCGAGTTCATATTCTTTTAAGTTTAAATTTGAGTTTAAACTTGAGTTCAAACTCGAGTTTAGGACTAAAACTTGAGTTCAAGTTTCCCCTTCAACTCGAGTTCAGAAACTCGAACTCAAATTAATGAACAGTATTTTTTCTATTCTTAAAAATGCTATAACTTTTTCGTTTTAATTGTGATTGAGTTGATTTTTTTTTCTATGCGTTGACAACGAAAAGACGAATAAAACCCGACTCATATACCATATTAAAATTTTTCATCAGTATTGAGTTTTTATTAAAATACTATCTCAATATAAATTCAGGTTTTGACTCACTCAAATACAAACTCAAAAAAATTCTTATCTCAAACCATAACTCAAATGTACACAACCAAACACAAATTCAAGTTACAAGTTCAACTCAAGTTATAACTCAAATTCAACTTAAAAATTATACTCAAGTTAAACTCCAAAAGAACAAGCCCGTACATTTTCTGCGAAAACCTTTGTACCTAGTAGGTTTGTAGTTCCTAACACAAGTTACGTTTCTTTTAACCAACGTCATTTTTCTAAGATTAAAAAAAAAAGGAGTAAGACAGTATTCAATCTTAAATGTACTGTCTAGAGAGAGCCATAGTAAATGGTGCTCTTTGCAAAATTATTAATTTGTATCCTCGTGTCCAACCTATCTTTGAGAGTTTGGATTATAGTATTGTTATAAGACACTAGTGATGTTAAGTATTATTGACTAATAAAAGGTGGTTTTCACAAGGTGAGACCCACAAATGAGGCTCACCTGTTATTAGTGATGGTGCTTAACACTGCTGGTGTTCTTAAGCATTTTTCTTTTGGTTATGCTAGTTGCTTCGAGGTTATAAGAGGTGGCAACTTGGGACATGAGGTTTAGGAGTTGTTTGGTATATATACTCAAAACTCAAACTATGATTTTACTACAGTATTTTTCTCTCATAAGAATTTGAATTAAAAAAATTTCTGCCCATAGTTATCTCTCAAAGAATTTGAACCAAATCTAAATTATGATTCAAATACACTTTCTAAACGGGTCTTTAATTTTTGGATGGATTTATGGTTATAGTTTCTAGCTCAGGTAGTGATTTTGTGAGAATTGTTGGGTTTGATAAGGGGAGGGGGGCCGGTTATGGTTGTAGCTAGCGGGTTATCGACCAGAAGGTGGTGAGTGGGTGAAAGGAGGGACATTGTATGGGGTTGGGGCTGTGGGTGGTGAGGCGATGAAGGGTGGTGGTGGAGGTGGGGCTGTAGGGTGGTGGTGGTAATGCGCGACTTTCTTTATGTTCAGAATCCAAGCACACAGTGCTTGAAACATACATATGTTGCCTCTTATATATAATACATCTCTAAATTTATCCCCCCAACTTTGAAACGAGTTATCTTTTGAATGGAATAACCTGTTTGACGCAAATGAGAATTGCAAATACATCAATATCTTTAAACCTTTAACCCGCACAATCCAATTAGAATTCTTTTTTCACCTTTTTCTCTCATTTCTTTTCTTCGTTTCGAAATGGCCAACTACTTTAAATCAAGCAGTAACTTTGTCCAAAAAATCGCATGTTTTAAAGTTTGAGAATGAATGTAAAGACAGATTATGATATAATAGATAAGTTTTAAAGTTTAAAACATATGTTAACGGAGAAATTTGTGATATTTATTAAAAAAAAAGTAAATTATACTATTGCACTTTAAATTATTCATTTTTTTTGTATAATATGTACTTTAAACTTTCAATTTTAACAAATTGTATCATAAATTTGAAAATCAATTGTAATTGAAGTTTAATGACTAATTATTATCAAATTGATAATTTAATATACGAATTTTCACATAACATGACTTGAAAAATAATAATTTTTATCTTTTATGTGAATTCGTGTTTTAAAAAGTCAAATTGATAATATTCATCAACTATTAGATCTTAGTTATAACAGATTTTAAAATTATGGAGTTTGTCAGAATCAAAAATTCATCATGCATTATGTAAGAATATTTTGGGCAACGGTGTAATTTACTGTAATATTGAATCTAACAAAGAAAAGAATAAAACATCGTTCCCTCTGCTACAACTGCAAGAAAACAAGTGTTCCAAAAAAAAAAAAAAAAAAAAAAAAAACCCAACACTGCACAGTGCTCTTTCAACTCCAGAAAAGAAAACAAAAAAGAAAGAAAAAAAATGCAGAGACTAGTCTCTCTCTCTCTCAAACTTACCTCCAATCTCACGAGAAAACTCTCCCACTCTACAACCACAACCACCTCTTCTCTCTTCCTTTCTCGTTTCCAAAAGCCTTTCGCTTCCCTCACAAAACCAGCCCAAACCCAAACCCAAACCCACTTCCTTGCTCATTCATGGCGGTCACACACCTCTCTCTCTGCCGAAATCCGTGGCTTTCTCGCCAACCCATTACTCGCCAAGCGCTCGTTCGACTGTTCTTCGAATACCCTTTTAAGAAAGAGTCTTGCGGATTTTAGAGTTGGTTTTCGAGGCGGTCAATTTCCCAACCCAAGTTTTCGCTCATTTCAGCAGCGTTCCGGGTGGTAACGTGTTTTGGTTTTTGTGGTAGTGGAGTCTGTTTGGTTCCCGAGAAATTGTCGGAAAATGGAAATAAAGTAGTAAACCTTAATGATTTTGGTTCTGAATTTATTTATTTTATTTTATATTATTTTTTATTTTTAAGTTTCTCTGGGATCAAACCCATATTAACATTATAATTCGGAAGAAATAGGTTTGAGATCTTCCTTGCAATTAGCAAATTTTGTTTTCATTTTCTCAGCTGAGCATGTTTTGTCAGAATGTGGGGCATTGATTTATTAGGGTTATATGGCTAAGAAAAATTGAATAGAGGAAAGTAAGAACAATGAGAAGATACTAATTTGAACTAAGTTTTATAGTTGTCAATAATCTCCAAATGCTTAAGCATGGCTGCAATGCCTTTAGAAAGAGGATATGAGCATATTTTAATTTTACTCAAGGTTCTGGATATTCTATGACAATGATCGTTATTAGGGTCGTGAATATTGTTGTAACTAAACTTTTGGGCATGTGCAGATTGTAGTTTCTTTGAATAATATCATTAGTTTACTCCCTGTGTTTATGACTGATTAGCTTGTTTTTGATCTATTATTTAGGGTTCGTTTGGTTGGAGGATTCAAACTATGTGATTCGAACCATTTTCGATTTACGTGTATTTTTTGTGAGAGAAAATACTGTAACGAACCACGAATCATGATTCGAATCAGGGAACGAATCCCTCTACCAAACGCCCCCTATATTTATTTATTTATTTCAAGATGGAAGAAAGCTTGAAATTCGCCTTAATTTGCTCTTGCAAGGTGTGAATTTTTGTTCCCCCACTATGGTGGAAATTGATTTTGTTGTCATGTTGTTATTAGATTGAGCACATTTATTTATTTAGTTATTCTTATTGTCTTCAAAACTTGAAACTTTTATCTTCACAATCGTTTACTAGATAAATTCTTATGTACTTATCAATTTTGATAGTTATTAGCTTGTAGTCTGTACACCTTAATATGTGAAAACTCATTATCTATCTACTCTTTGTAGGAGGTCATGGTTACGTGGGCTATCACCGCATGATGTGGTCATCAGCTTGATTGTTGCTAATGTCGCAATTTTCCTGTTATGGAGGCTTGCAGATCCCAGATTTATGTATAAGAATTTTACTGTGAGTTCTTAAATAGTCAAACTTATAATATATGGTTCGTATTGTACATTTTTAACTCTATGCTTTCCGTATTTTGTTGATGTTCTGTGAACAGATCTCAGTTGAAAACTTCAAAAGTGGACGTCTGCACACTTTGATAACTTCCGCATTCAGCCATATGGATATTGATCATATTCTTCATAACATGATTGGACTATATTTCTTCGGAGTGCATGTATGTTTATCTTCCTCCAAAACATATATTCAAATCTGATTTTTGTATTTTTCTTACTGCTGTTTCATCTTATATTGTCATCCAAAATTTTTTTATCTTATGTTAGGGAATTAATTTGTTCGTTCAGATAATTTGTAATGTTTAAAAGCATTAACAAGTATAGTTTTTCGTTGTGGATACTAGTCCCTGTTAGAAAATATCTTTAAATGTAAAACATATCTCAAAATTCAGGAAACATTCATGTTAAAATCACCAAGAATCAATAAATTAATATGCGGAAGTATACCTGAATCCATGACAATTAATTACTCTCTAGAGCAGTGCGGTTTGTCTTCCAGATCAACACGTTTTTCTAGAGAATCTTTTATGGGCCCGTTTAGTTTGCTGATTCGAGTTGAGATGTGATTTTTTTATGGGAGCTTTTTACTTTAGCAAAAACGTTAAATGTCTGTTTCTGAGAGCTTTTTACTGTAGCAAAACTCAAATTCTAAACTCGAATCAGTGAAATGAACGGGGCCTAACTCTCTCTCGCTCTCTCTGATGATGAGATGTCAGAAAAGAATAAAATGGTAATACGTGTGATCTGGAGACTATAACCATTATATATAGATAACTTTCTTGTATCTTTTGGTATTTTTATTTTAGCCAATCATAAAAATAGAAATTACTCTTAAGGCTTTACACATTAAAGGCACGCACCCTATTAGATACATTAACGCACACATTACCCAAACTTTAGTAGACTACTTTAAATGGGCTTAACCTTATATGACAGTCTACAACACATAATAATTCACATATGAGCCCAATGATGGATTAAGGATCCAATAATCTCCTACTTGGACTATATGTGTAACCTTATAATTAAACATTGCAAAAATAACTGTATGAGCTCAACTTTGCTGTCATTACCGAAATGTATCTATAACCAATCCGGTCCATCAACCATACTAACATAAGATCAAAGCGGCTTTCGTTACATCTGCCGTAACTCGACCTATCAATTGTCACGTATGCCGATACAACTGAATGACATGGATCATGATGTGGATGTGTAGCATGAAAATTTCATACAATGTGATCTTAATATGCATATTTCTAATTGGTCCAGCTTTAAACTTTAGTGAGATCAAACCATACCAAAATTAGAGTGTAAATAAACCAAAACTTTATTTATGCAGAAAATAATATCAAAATATCCATAAATTGAAATAAATTAAAATATGTTTATATCAGAAAAGCATCTAAAATTACAAACTCCCACTAAAACTGATTATCCTCAAATGACATGACACTCATACTAGAAGTGTGTTCATAAAACACTTTGGGTGGCAATCCCTTAGTAAGCGGATTCGCAACTATGGAGTTTGTACCGATGTGTTCTATAGACAACTGTCCACTCTGAATTCTTTATTTAACAACTAAGAACTTGATGTCTAGAGGCTTTGACTTCGTCGAGCTCCTGTTGTTATTGGAATACAAAACTGCCGACTTATTGTCACAAAATAACTTGAGTGGTCTTTTAATACCCTCCACTATGCGCAGCCTCGTGACAAAATTTCGCAGCCATATTCTGTGATTGGACGTCTCATAGTACGCTATGAATTATGCCACCATGGTAGAAGAGGCTATAAGAGACTGTTTAACACTCTTGTAGGAGACATCACCCACAGCTAGCAGGTAGATATAGCCCGACGTAGATTTCATACTGTAGAAAATCAAGCTAGACATTAGGATTCTTGTGATATCCCGGATATTAAGAGTATTCACAAATATTGTAATCCTAGTTTAAATTTCAGAGATAAGATCTATTAGTTCCTGCTTTTGTGGACTAGGGTTAGCTCCTCTTATGTGTATATATATACCCGTTAATCAATGAATAAGATTCAGAGGGTCACTTCCTAAATTTCCTCATGGTATCAGAGCCACTCTGAGCCCTAACTCTGCCGCCGTTCCCCTTCTGGTCACTAAGCAGTTCTCCGCTTGCTAGCCATCTCCAGCAGTCCTCCTCTCAAGTTTTTTTTCTCTCTCTCTCTTTCTTTCCCTTAATCCTCAATGGCGGAATCTGAACAAACCTCCACAACCAGTGGTACCTCATCCACTGCTCTTCCATCCCTGAATAATCCAGTCCCATCTGAAGGCAGTCTTATCCCTGTGACCGGTCATAAACTCACTGGTCATAATTACCTTCAATGGTCTCAGTCCGTCATGATGTTTATTTGTGGCCGAGGTCGTGATGACTACCTCACTGGAGCCGCTGCACAGCCAAAACCAGAGGATCCCCAATTCAGGGTGTGGAGAGCCGAGAACAACCTGGTGATGTCATGGCTGATCAATTCCATGACTACAGAAATTGGCGAGAATTTTCTCCTTTACTCCACTGCAAAGGAAATCTGGGATGCAGCCCATGACACTTTCTCCAGCAGTGAAAACACTGCTAAACTCTTCCATATTGAGAGTATTCTGCACGATCTCAGACAAGGCGAGTTCCCTGTTACTGCCTATTTCAAAAGTCTCACCCGTTATTGGCAACAACTAGATCTTTTTGAATCAATTGAGTGTAAGTGCCCTGATGACAGTGCTCGCTTCAGGAAAATTGTGGAAACCAAGCGTGTTTTTAAATTTCTTATGGGCCTCAATAAATCTCTCAATGACGTTCGTGGCCGGATCTTAGGTACCAAGCCTTTACCAAGTCTCCGAGAGGCTTTCTCTGAGGTCCGCAGAGAAGAATGCCGAAAAAGAGTGATGATGGGGCAACCAGGGGTGCCCGGGAATGTAGAGGGGTCAGCCTTAGTAACCCATAAGGACAGTTCCAAAGCCCAAGACTCTTCTACACATGATGTACGTGGACGTCCTCAGAATCGCAGTGATAACAGGCCACGCAAGGGAAGACCCTGGTGCGATCACTGTCGCAAACCAGGACATGTCAAAGAAACCTGTTGGAAGCTGCACGGAAAACCTGCAGATTGGAAGCCCAGCCACACATTCGGTGATCATGAGAGCCGTGGAAACGTTGCTTCTACTGAAGAATCCAAAAGTCCAAGTCAAGCTCCATTCACCAAGAATCAACTTGAGATGCTGCAGCACATGATTAGTCAGGCTCATCATTCTACCAACCCATCAGTGATTGGCACAGGGGGAGTCGCTCAGCGAGGTAATAACACTCTGGCCTTTCATGCCGCAAAGGCACCCCCAACCCACTGGATTGTAGATTCTGGCGCATCTGATCACATGGCAGGTGACAGGTCCCTGTTATCCGCCTACAGTCCATGTCCGACCACTCACACTGTTCGTATTGCAGATGGCTCATGCTCTACAGTTGCTGGAACTGGCACTGTCTAGCTTTCACAAAATCTGACCCTTCACTCAGTTTTTTTTTGTGCCTAATCTTGACTGCAATTTACTATCTATTAGCAGACTCAATAAAGACTTAAACTGTGAGACTAAGTTTTTTACTAAATCTTGTGTATTTCAGGACTTGGATTCGGGGAAGACGATTGGCAATGCTGAGCTTTGTGCATGCCTATATCTTCTCAAATTTGACAATCCACCAACAAACCCGAGATGTAATGCACTTAGTGCTAGTTCCCAAAGTCAACCCAGTAGCAGTCAAGAGTCAAGAGTCAATGAGTCATTCTAATAGATATAGTGTTATTATGTTGTGGCACTATTGCTTAGGTCATCCAAATTTTATGTATCTTGAACGTCTTTTTCCATCATTATTCAATAATAAAACTTCTAAATTTTTCCACTGTGATGTCTGCCAACTATCCAAACATACTCGAAGTACATATTCTCCGCGACCATACAAACCTTCTCATCCATTCTCCCTCATTCATGGGGATATCTGGGGGCCTTCAAAAATCCGAAATATCACAGGGGCTCGATGGTTCTTACTATTGGTTGATGATCATACACGACTAAGCTGGGTATTTCTCATGAAAGATAAATCCGAAACTAGCCAAATCTTCCAAAACTTTCATACCATGATCCAAAACCAATTCCATACGAATATTCAGGTTCTCAAAACTGACAATGCCCGAGATTTCTTTAACACTGTCCTTGACCCTTACTTGCAGTCTCATGGTATTGTCCATCAAAGTTCCTGCGTCGACACACCTCAACAAAGTGGAGTAGCCGAGCGTAAGAATCGCCACTTACTTGAGGTTGCTCGTTCCTTGTTATTCACTTCCAACGTTCCCAAAAGATTCTGGGGCGAAGCTGTTCTCACCGCAACTTATCTCATTAATAGAATGCCTTCCCGAATTTTACACTACAAAACACCAAACCAAACCCTCCTTAACGCATATCCTAATTCTCACCTCATTTCTCAAATTCCACTTAAGATTTTTGGTTGCACAGTGTTTGCTCACATCCACTCACAACATCGGGGAAAACTTGATGCAAGAGCTACAAAGTGTATCTTTCTGGGCTATTCACCCAACAAGAAAGGATACAAATGTTACTGCCCCAACACCAAAAAGTTCTTCCACTCCATGGATGTAACTTTCTTCGAAGACAAACCTTTCTACCCCAATTATGCAATTCAGGGGGAGAGCAATGTGCAAGAATCACAGAATTGGACCTCTATTATTGATACAATCTCCGATCCAACCAATGTCACCAATGTCACCACTGATACTCCCACTATTCTACCAACCCTGCCCTCAGCCGAGACACCTCCCACACTGGCAAACCCTCTACCAACCGAATCTCAACTTGTAAATCCTGAGTCAAACCTATTGAGTCCTACTCATCTCCCGAGTCACACTACAGTAAATAAAGAGATTATTGTCTACTCAAGAAGAAGGCGCCGACAAGAAGAGCTTGTACAAACTCAGCAAAACCAAGAGTCTAATCCGGCTCCAACTGTCCTTGAAAAACCGCAAGGTAAGGAAAAACTTACTCATGTTCCTCTGGCTGGAAAATTTACAGATCACGGCTCGGACCTAGATAGGCCAATTGCGGAAAGAAAAGGAGTCCGCTCATGCACTCAACAT